GCACCTAGACCAGCCAACCTGTCCCATTATGCAAGGGTTTGTTTGAGAAGATTGAAGCTTTTTTTAAACAAATGTACCATTATTCTTCAAATTTGCTATGTTTTTCTGTCAAATATCCATGTTTGAAGAATTCTGCCAGAAATCTGCCAAAAAAATCCACTCCGTCAAATTTTCTGTCAAACTCAATTTTTAACAAAAAATCTGTCAAAGTTAGCCAAAAGTCGGCTAAAACGGTCACCCTGATTCCCACAAGAGCACAGGGACATGATTGGACACAATTTTGAGTGAGGAACCAATCGGATTAGCCGAAGAACGACACAGTTTGACTGACTCATGAGAGCCAAGGACGGACACACATCAGGCAGGGCCTTGATAGACCCCTTGCATAGAGCGCCCTCAATAGGGGACAGATTTGTTAATGAAAAAAAGGTAGTGTCTACTCATGCCTATCACAGACAAATGCAGACCTGTCCCCTGTGAGGGCGCTCTGTGCAAGAAGTCTATTCTTTTTGAGTTGCATTCACAGTGTATGAACAAACCCTTTAATATGCCCTTTAAAGTGGTTTTGACGTAAAAACAGGCAGGGTCACGGGACTATGGCATGCTAATTTACATACAATGTTCTTTCTGCCTTGTTAAATTAAAGGACCTGTGCAGAGAATTTTACACTTAAGCGTACTTTCCCATTCCTCTGAACTGTATTAAAATACTGAGACACCCCCATTATAATCTGCCTAAGATGACGTCACTGTTTTTTGTAGTGAATATGGAAATTTGCCTTAGCATGAAAACAAAATGTCACTGAAATTGCTCTAAACAGTTTGTGATATCACATTCTTAGAGCAAACCTACTAGGTCATCATCCTTTCTCCTTGACATTATTTTAACGACTGGAAGTGAAGTTGGACACAAAAAGTGTCAATTGAAAGTTTAAATTAAAACCTTTTGCATGGGCTCTTTATAACACATTTGCCAACTGTCCTAAAATTATCATATACCAGGCCATTATTTCCAAGGAACGGGGTGTAAGAGAAGTGTTGTACTATAAACTGCAAATTTTCAACAAGTGCTTACTGATGCTTGAAAGAAAAAAGGAAACACATGTACATGTGCATTGTACATGTGGACAGGCATAGCATGCACACAAAATATCAAGTACCATATCATCTCTACATACATACAAAACTGTTTAAACTATTAAAAGAAAATCCTGAGACTTGTTGCGAGTGGTAAATTTTTTTTCATGAACATTCACAGCAGTGGCGCACCCATGATTTGGCTTTTTGGGGGGGGGGGGGCTCACAATTTTTTTTCCCAAACAATTTGGGATTTTTTTTGGGGGGGGGGGGTTTGACTATTTTGATGTTGGTGGCGCCACTGACACCCCTATTATACTACTTGAAAATAGGCCACATACATATCATCAAGGTCAGATCGTGGGACAATTAAGCCCCCCGCCCCCCTTGGGTGCACCAGTGATTCAAAGAACACAGTGAGCAATTCTGTGAATTATATCTACTGTTCACTGTCGAGTATGTCATGTTAATGTGTCTATCTCTAACTTCATTTCATTAAAATTAAATGAAGTTAGAAATGAACACACTAACATTACATAATTATAAAGTAGGGGTGTGCATTTACGGCTAGTCTGGGAACCGGGTACCCGACTGGAACAAAAAAACATGGGTATCAGTTACAGAAACCCCAAACCCAAAATTCAAATGTTGGTAGTTGCTGTTCAGATTGTTCATAAAGGCCCCCCCCCCCATAATACTAGCACATCAGTGCGTCTATGCAACAAGATACAAGTGTGTTCAGTGAGCTTTATAGCTTTACCGTGTAAACTGCAACATCTGCGAACGTCATAAAAAGTGAAACCTGTTTTGTTATTCCACATAGCTTGTTTCAGTTTGAAAATTCCCTACAAATGACATCAAAACCTTACTTTTTCATTGTCTGAGAAGTAATTTGTAAAGTCGGTAACGGGCACCCGATCCCACAATCTGGAACTGATTCCTGACATCAGTGATCGGGTACTCGGTCACCTGGCTCTGATGCACAGCCCTATTGCATGTATGTATAAAGACTTTAAAACAATGCCCACTTATAAAATGGAGTGCACCAAAATTATGATGAAAATCAAATTAATAAGTTGCAACAACACACAAAACCACAAAATCCCTGTGATAATCAAATGCATAACATCAAAAACACAACAATAACTTGATTTTGGTTTCATTAATAAATGCCAACTGTTAAGGCCAGTGCACCAAAATTGAAAAAAAAAAAACCTGACTGTGCAAAATCGTTTTTGTCAAATAAAAAATTATCACTTTACATGTAAGTGATCACTATAACATAACTTGTCCAGTGGTATGTACATGTACAATATCATTCTTCATCTTTTTTTTATATACATGTAAGATCACAAATCCTAGGTCATTCAACCTCTTCAGAAATTCTCAACAAGGTGTTTGAGGTGGCGTGGGGGAGTCAGGTTGGCGTAGTGGTACTTTCCTCGCCTTCCACCGCTGTGACCCGGGTTCGAATCCCGCCTGGGCCAATATGTGGATTGGGTTTTCAGTCCCTGCCTGATTCCGTGGGTTTCCCCAAAATATTCTTCTGGGCTTTTCCTCCCACCTCTAAAACTGTAACTTCTTCTTATTGTCTTCTCTCCACAGGTTTCTTCAGGCTTGCGAGCTACAGTGCCTAGGGCGCTTTTGAGGAATCCTTGGTTTCATTACCAGAAATGATTAATAATAATAATAATAATAATAATGATAGTACTGTACGGACATGTCTGACATGTATGTATTATATGTACCGGTAACCGGTGTAGCATGAATTTAGGTTTTATGAAATACGGACTCTTTGGTGGTATTGCGCATGCTCATGCATAGATAATTAGGAGAGGGACCGGTCACGTGAGAGGGTTCAACCAATAAAAGGGAAAAAGAGCCCGATTTTCATACGAGTCCGATTTTCATATGACACCGGTATGTATAAAGCTACTAGCCTATCTCATGAATGTACATGAGCTACATGTACACTGTAATTTAAATATTTACATTCCTTAAACTATCTTCTTCATTTTAACCATCACGTTTCAACATGCCTTTCATAATAATTCATGTGATTTCCAGCTCACATGTAAATGCCAACAAAACTACTTGGGATTACATTGTACATAATTTCAGAGGATGTATAGTCATGGGTAAAATGTAGTGATTTTGTTCCGTTTGCGGTATTGCATATCAAAATAAACTCGAAAGTACACATCCTGGGTATTACTAGATGCGAGGGTGGGCAATATACTTGATATAAGACAAATTTCAAGGAAAGATCTTTTTACTACAAGTTTCAAGAGTTTAACTAATTGACCCTAAAAGGGCCGGGTTATTTTGACCATCTAAGATCTCGGCCATCAAGTGACGAAACATTTTCAAACTCGGTACATGCATAGAACAACTCATCATGAACATACCCAAGAAATTTCATGACTACAGGTCAAAGAGTTTTGGAATTATGGCTGATTAATTATTCATACGTACGAATGGTAATTGTGCTCTGTGTACACGACATATGGGAAAGTTCAGTTTTTAATGGCGCTTAGCTCCGGAAAATGTTTCGCTGTGCGGTAACGCGTGGTCTGATTTTTATGTTTTTGGTATCAAAAGATGCGCAAGGCTCGAGGCTAAAAAGTCATAACAGCTCAGGTCGCGAAGAAAAAAAATTTCAAGGCTATCGCGGAAACAGTTGAAGGGGGGCAAAAATCCCCCCCCCCCCCCCCCCCGGCCCTTTCAGGGTTAAGTCAAGTCAACATTCAATTGCAAATCCACCACAACGTGTGGTCTGATTTTTATGTTTTTGGTATCAAAAGATGTGCAAGGCTTGAGGCTAAAAAGTCATAACAGCTCGGGTCACGAAAAAAAAAAAGGCTATCGCGGAAAAAGTTGAAGGGGTTCCCCCCTCCCCCCCCCCCCCCCCCGGACCTTTTAGGGTTAAGTCAAGTCAACAGTCAATTGCAAATCCACCACAAATCTGGTCACATGACAAAAAAAGGCTTTTGTCTCTGTTCATTCAATAACTTGTGACTAGGGGTGTGCATTTACATGTATGGGTAGTACAAGAAAAGGGGAACCTGATTAAAAGAAAACCATGGGTACCTGGATACATTGTGTACATGTTACAGAATGCCAACCCCCAAATTCAAATCTCAGAAGTTGCTGTTCAGATGTTCATAAAGATCCGCACGATAATACTACCACAAAATGTAGTTTTGTACATCAGTGCATCAATACAGCAAGATACAAATGTGTACAGTAAGTTGTACAGATTTACGGGGTAAACTGCTCATTTCGCAAGCGTCACAAACGTGAAATATGTTTAATGTTTTGTTTTCCCACGTAGCCTGGTTTTCATGTTTCAAATTTCCCACAAATGACATTTAAAACCTTTCTGTTAAACTAAGTAATTCATGAAGTTGGTTATGGGTACCCGATCCCATAATCTGGAACCGGTTCCTGACATCAACGGTCGGGTACTCGGGTACCCGGTTCCGATGCACAGCCCTACTTGTGACTTGACTTTAGATTGAATGACTTGTGACCAACTTGTGATTTGACTCCAGACTGAATGACTAGTAACTGACTTATCATGGGGACATTAAACCTACAACTCTGAATGCTTCGTTATGAACTAGTAATCACACGAGATAGTGTAATGCATATCCGTGTAAGAGACAGTGTTGAAGTCCAGTCCATCCCAAGTCCATCCCAAGTCCATCACAAGTCCATCACAAGTCCATCACAAGTCCATTACAAGGCCATCACAAGTCCATCACAAGTCCATCACAAGTCCATCACAAGTCCATCACAAGTCCATTACAAGGCCATCACAAGTCCATCACAAGTCCATCACAAGGCCATCACAAGTCCATCACAAGTCCTTCACAAGTCCATCACAAGTCCATCACAAGTCCATCACAAGGCCATCACAAGTCCATCACAAGTCCATCACAAGGCCATCACAAGTACTCCAGTCCAAAGTCAAGTCACAAGCTATTCAAATGAACTTTGACAAAGGTATAATTGCTTTGTTATTGCTCATCACTTGCTACTTGTGACCTCATTAACCCTACAACTCCCTCAAGTGTCATTAACTAAGTACTGGACCAAGTCTGCCAAAATCCATCACTGACCCTGCTCCACACAAATGCTTTAGGACCAAACCCACTGAAATCCACCACAAGACCACCACTACTATAGCTGGATTTTGATGGACTTATCTTGGCTTGCCTACCAAAATCCCCCAAAAGGGGGAATGGATTTTGATGGATTTGGGAAGGGTAGGGTCCTTGCAAAATGTCTTGTGATGCGCTTGTAACGGACTGATGATGTACTTGTGACAGACTTGAGATGGACTTGTGAGGGACCCAACTACAATACGAAAGCGAGTTAGCCAACTGCTACCCATCCACTGCTGCGTAACCATTTCTCATTCTTACGCGTTCATCCTCCTTTGCATGCACCGTGCTATTCCTATCAACGAGGGGTTGACCATGTGGCCCATCCACAGTCTTGCCTGTCCAACCGTGGTACATCTTTGTGTACTTGCGGGACGTAAACACCAGGATATTGACCATGAGGACCCAGCTAACTAGGTACAGCGCCACCGCGCCAACTTTGAAGAACATCCGAGGCAGCGGATGTAACAGCTCACAGTAGAGGAAGTACGACCCCAAACCGATCCGGCAAACGGTGAAAGTCAGTAGGAACAGAAAATCGTTGACTTCGTACAGAAAGGACCCCTTCCAGCCTGCCTGGCGCATGAACCACCGCATCTGTAGGAGGGGGTTGCTTAGCTCCGCCCCAAAGATGGTCGCGCCGACCTCGGTGCCGGAGTGCTCCCACGCCAGGGCAGCGAGTATACCGACGATCGTTATGAGGTGGTGTACTAACATGACGCTGGATTCTTGGTCTCGGAACCAGACGCACCAGACGAAATCAAAGATGAAGTAACCCACACATACTACCATGGTGTAGACCTCGTGGATGCTGGACTTGCCGCCTGACCAAACCAGAAATGACAGAGAAACAACTGAGTATGCATTGCAGTTCTTATAGAATTGGCAACAATGACTTATTGTCTGAACAATCTTGACATTGTCTCAATTTCTGTAGGAGATCATTTTTTTTAAAGATATAGTCCATCATTTGTAATTTGTGCATTTTGTTTGTTTGAAGCAACAAAAGTGTTCAAAATCTAATGAAAGATACTGAACAACTAACCTGATGAAGTTTCAGCTCAGCTTCAGCTGTACATGTATATATTTTTTTTAAACAGCATTCTAGGATCTCAATTTCAAAACAAAAGTTGCTGAATCATGTTTTGAATTGGGCCTGAATTCAGCGTCCGAGACACGTTCTCACTGAGCTGATTGCAACTATACGCGATGTCGCGCACTATTCCGACGAATTATAGCAACCGCGCGCGTGTGCATCGTGTCAACCCTTGCGCGTGCTTCGCCGAATAACAAAACGAACTACTAATTTAAATTTCTTACGGTGCGTCTAAAGAAGCACCCTTGGAAAGGCCTTCTTTTGTTGATTACTTGAAAATGACAGCTTGCCAGAAAGAATAATTTCACAGGGAGTTTAGTCAACTTACTATCTTTCAACCAAGTATGTTTTTCAACAATAATTATGCCAGTTACTTTTTGGATTGCTGCAAATGATGGACTATAGCTTTAACTGACACTCGTGTTAGGAATGGTGCTCAGAGACCCGACATTTGCTAGTGTTCACCGATTATCAAAACATCCTGGTGATTGATGATCCCTTTCACAATGATTTGCGAAGGAAATGCAGACATCGCAAACCATTGTGAGTATTTGTAGGTCACTTGCCACAACGTTCATGTACTCGGTACATACATTCCATGCACACGTATCACATCAAGCCCAGAAAGCCCATCCACTTAATGCTCAAATGTGTCAACTACATGTACCAGCACCCGATTTCACAAAGCGCTGCGACGCGTCGCAACTCGAGTTCCGACGTGTAACACGTCGCAACTCGCGACGCATCGTATAATCCATTTCCTGAAAGTTGCGATGTGTTGAACGCTTCGTAAGTTCCTTGACAACGGCTTAAAACACGTCGCAAGCTACGACGTGTCTAGTGGTCGTCGCAAAATAAAAAGAGTCCGTTTTTAGCCAGTTTTGTGCCATAAACATTACATAAACAAGATTATATACCGAGGCAATGTGTGTTAAGTTGTAAATAGAAAATTCATTGAATAATTATGAATTAGCCTGGAATATTGCAGTTGAAATTTCAAAGTAGCTACACAGTCCACTGAGAGCTCATTTTCCTTTAAAATTGCATCGCACGGCCACCATTTTGTCCTACGTTTTAACAAATTTCGAGCGGAGATCCGACGACACTTTGTTGAATACCAGACGACTATTTGCTGTATGCTGACTTAATACATAAAACAGTCACCGAATTGTGCTATAAATACACATGCGATGCGTCGCACTTACGACGTGTTTTGTGAAATGGATCGCAGGACGTGTTGCAACTGCGACGCATCGTAGGGATACGATGCGTCGCAGCGCTGCGATGCATCGTAAGTTACGAAGAGTTTCGTGAAATCGGGTGCTGTAAAAATTGTCATCTTCATTCGTTGTCTGGTTTGATTAGTTTTTTTTTAATCACATTTTTTTAGGGAAACCTTGCCCTCCCCCTCCCCCCCCCCCCCCCCCCAACCTGGTCTGCAAGTAGTCTGAGTAGGACTCTACGAATCGCCTTTTTTAACATTTGGACATGGTCGGGTGAAAGTAGAGAGTCCTTACCAATAACCTTTTTTGACCATTTTCACTCGTACCCCAAATCAAAATCTTCAGATTTCACCCCCAAAACAGTACTCAAACTGCCTGACTGGCCTGCAAGTGAGTTCCAATGAGTTCAAACAATGTATTACCAGGATGTGTGAAAGGCCACGGGTTGTAGTAAATTCCAAAGATGTAGGACATAACGACGATGGTGACGGCGTGTACCAGGGTCACGGCTCGGCAGTTCCACTCGTACGACCGCTGCGGGCAGAGGTAACAGAAGAGGCCGTACAGCGACGACCAGAAGACACAGGAGGATATGACAAGGAGACTGATGGTAGAAGCGCTCATTTCCATGGCGATAAATCTAGCCCACGGCAATTGAGCTGGTATAGTAGAGGAGCTGCATCAATAAAAATCAAGATAAATAAACGTTTTTATAGGTTGGGCATGTTGGGTATTAGGCCCCCCCAAAAAAATTACTCTGTCTCTGGTCAGCGCGCGCGTCAATTTTAATTATGTGCGTCAACTTTTTTTTTCTTCAAATTAACACGGAAGCTACAACAGCGCCCTCTATTGCCGCGCCTCCTCAAATTTTTGTACCAAGGAATGGGGAAATTGCACCCAGGCAAATGATAAAGGGCACCAAGGCAAATGATGGAGGACACCAATGTATAATGAGGACACAAAAAAGCAAAATAGTGCCCACCTTGTCTGTACAATACAAGCTTGGGGAAAAAAAGCCACCAAAAAAATAATAAAAACGCGTCACCGCATCAATTCCGGAACTTCGGTCTGACCAGAGACCGACTATGTTGGTTTTTTTTGGCCTGAAGGACAATAAACTGGCTATCATTAGGGAAGCCGTAATGCAATTTTTAACTGCTATCATTAAGGTACTGCAACAACACCATTGAATTTATATCACATTTTAAAAACAGAAAAAAATGTTGCAACCTGACGCGCCACTTCCGCGACTGTGTACAAAGTCTATGGAGAGTCAAGAACATTTTCCCAGTAGTAATACTAAGGGAATAAATGTGTGTTCCGGAGGTATTATAACACTCTGTTCAAGACCGGTGTGAGTCTGGAGGGTGATAATTACCTGAGGCGAAGCCGAGGGCAATTATCACCCATCCAGACTCACACCGGTCTTGAACAGAGTGTTTAATACCGACCGAACACATATTTATTCCCATTCAAAAATACCTTTTTGGTCAAAAAAACAAATCTTTTCGGTCCAGATATCAAAACAAGTAAAAAAACTTGACGTTACCAACCATTTTGTTCAACAATTTTACTTCCATGTTTTACGAAACACCCCTCTGACAATAAAAGTATAATATGCATACGTGATGAGGAATGTGAACGCTCAACCAATAAAACATTAAAAGGCACCGGATTTCACGGGAGTCCAAATTTCATGTGACACTGGAAAAGTGTTTAAGACTAGCTCTACTGAGTGGAGCGTTGAATTACGGGTACCCCTCCATACAAACGCTCCACCGATTTGCCATACTTTGGTGACGGCTTCACAGTAGCATAGTCACATACCCACGCGAGGACAAAAAGACCCCCCAAAAAACCGGTAAAGAGAATACAAATGAGAGCGACAGTTACCCTGGATTGATCTACACATTCATGACATTCCATCAGACCCCTTACATTGTTCCCAAACAGCGAAAATTTTGAAGAAAAACAGCAAAATAGTCTGAAAACTTACAGCTCAATGTGTTCGCCGTGAGGCTCAATCCTTGCACCGGTTTGCCGAATGAGGGCGTCTGACGTGACGTCACTGTCGTTGCTCGATCGAAGAAAAACAAGTCGCGCTTTATCAACGACTGTTTCGTGTAATAATACGTGCTCCGATCCGCGCCGTACGACAGTATGGGCTTTGAACACACGCAAGGTGGAGACGGCTGAAACGTATTTTAATAACAATGGGATTTTCATTTGTCAGTATTAGTACATGTAGTTCTTTGATACAAGTTTCATGTGGGTATCTGTCGTCATTAATTTGTTTTTAATTTAGAACGTGTACGTTTCAGCCATCTCCACCTTGCGTGTGTTTGTTCAAAGCCCATACTGTCGTACGGGCGGATTGGAGCACGTATTATTACACGAAACAGTCGTTGATAAAGCGCGACTTGTTTTTCTTCGATCGAGTAACGACGGTGACGTCACGTCAGACGCCCTCATTCGGCAAACCGGTGCAAGGATTGAGCCTCACAGCCAACACATTGAGCTGTAAGTTTTCAGACTATTTTGCTGTTTTTCTTCAAAATTTTCGCTGTTTGGGAACAATGTAAGGGGTCTGATGGAATGTCATGAATGTGTAGATCAATCCAGGGTAACTGTCTCTCTCATTTGTATTCTCTTTACCGGGTTTTTTTGGGGTCTTTTTGTCCTCTCGTGGGTATGTGACTATGCTACTGTGAAGCCGTCACCAAAGTATGCCAAATCGATGGAGCGTTTGTATGGAGGGGTACCCGTAATTCAACGCTCCACTCAGTACACAACTGTAGAGCTAGTTTAAGACCAGCTAGCCATGTCTAAATCATCCGTTTAAGACCGGCCACGTGACGGGCTCTCGACCAATAGGAATGCGTAAACTGTCTTAGGTATTTATGAAAAATAGTTTTTCCTAACAAAATTGGAAATGTTTCTCAGCTAGTCCCCGATTCGGAAAGATTCCCATATCTGGCCATAACTAATTTTTCCCTTCAGTGGCCTATCAGCCATCAGAAAGTGATAATACGTCCTAAAAAGTTGAATTTAAAAGCACAGTACGAGAGAAATACCGAGGAGAAAATTTATCGTCGATTCGCAGCTCCCATGATTTTCTACAAACGGTCCAAACATGTCAAAGTGCGAGTCGGAAATCTGGCCAAAATTCCTTTTCTAAAAGTTTTATCGAAAAGGTCTGTGTGTATCAGGAAGCTTACATTTCCCTTTTCAAAATGCACTTCGTCAGATTTTTTTTTTTATTGGAGACTAGTCCAAAAGAGGTAGGTTTTTATTTGAAGCGATCCGGAACTAGGAAAAATCCGGAACTAAGAAAACGACTGTATTACACGAATAACGGAAATACGGGTAAGACACTGTTCTGACAACGGAGTCCAACCGGGGCCCAATTTCACGGCGCTGCTAAGCACACGATTTGCTGCTTTTCATGGAGACCGTAACGATAAGCACAGCAAAAGGCACGCTTACTACAGAGGAAGGAGTAATTGCAGAATACTCCGCCACTCGGAAATACACCCCTAAAATCACTGGCTACAAAACAAGGTTGGAATCACTGGAAAAGAAACAATTCAAGTCCATGCCAGCTACGCGGATACTGAGTGGGGGTCCATTATTTGAAAACGAAGCAACACAAAAGGAATGGCAGTTGCTGAAAAATTTATACGTCCAAACCAACCACCCTGTTGACGGCTACGCGGATACAGAGTGGGCATGGTGGGAGTCCCCTTGAATATGCTTGAGAACGAAGCAACACAAAAGGAATGGGAGTTGCTGAAAAAAATTCCAAGTCCAAACCAACTGTTGGCGGCTACGCGGATACGGAGTGGGAGTGCAGTGGAGCATGACGCAGAGTAGCTTGAGTAACTCCAGCTCACATGCTCCATATTCATTCACATGTTACATGTGAATGAAAATGGAGCATATCAGCTGGAGTTACTCAAGCTAGACGCAGAGTCATGAGAGTACATCTCAAGTAGCGCTGCTGTTGAGAAGGTGTATTAAGGGCAATCAACCGTGACCTTGTAGCCGGCTACGAGGTGGATAGATTGAGTGGCGGGGTATTCTGCAATTGTGCCGCAAATTTTTCTGCTATGCTAAACACAACTTTTCTGCTAACTGTTAAGCAGCGCCGTGAAATGTGCGAGATAACCACTTAAGAGGTGTTTGCACAGTAACATAACAACCAGAACCAGAAATTGGGCCCTGGGCTAGCTGGAGTTACCCAGCCCTGAGTTTTATCATTGGGTTGTCATTTAGGGCTGGAGCGAGTTTTTCTCGTAACCGATAGTATAGGCAAAAATTTTTGGAAAATGTTCAATTTTGTCCCCGTTACACACTAATTGCAACTGCAACTCACCCCAAACTTGCCTGGAATAACCATTACACAGGTCCTTGAAGTAAAAAACGATCCACGATGAAGATTCAGCCTACATCGTGCATTCATTTATGGAACTAACTAGTTATTGTCCCTGTCTTTCAATGAACGTAAATAACACTGCACTATGAATGCACGATAGCCGGCCAACTCGACGGTTGCCGTTCCAGTACCGCACTGTGATGCGAGTGAACCTCTTATTAAAGCATGAAACAGTCATCGGGTATTACGCTTCCGCGTCACGTCATGCACCGACCGCACAAACGCCTAGTACCAGCGAGCTGTACGTGCATGGTAATCGACCGCCATTCATTGTACACAATTTTTGTGTGTGCACAAACCAATTGCGGTCCTGGCCATGCCTGCAAGGTTGTCAGGTTAGCGGTTATTCCTCCTGTTTTCACTGCAATTGTAGGCTGAAACTCCATCGTGGATCGTTTTTTACTTCAAGGACCTGTGTAATGGTTATTCCAGGCAAGTTTGGGGTGAGTTGCAGTTGCAATTAGTGTGTAACAAGGACAAAATTGAACATTTTCCAAAAATGTTTGCCTATACTATCGGTTACGAGAAAAACTAGCTCCAGCCCTAAATGACAACCCAATGATAAAACTCAGGGCTGGGTAACTCCAGCTAGCCCTGGGCTATGTTTACCCAATCAATCATGCCATTGCCAATAGCCCAATGTTTACCCTGCTTCGACTTTGTTAAGTTCGTAATCGGTCATCTCGGTAGCCTGTATCTAACAATAAACGCAGTGGCTATTGTTACGGCAGCCGTAACGCATTTCCCATTTTCTATCGTTACGGTAGACTGCAACTTTTATAAAAACATGACAAGAAAATATAAAATTAAAAGAAGGAAAAAAGTGAATTTGAACGTTATGAAATTGGGACTTTATTTCCCTTTTAAAAAAAATCCTCCAAAGCCTCAGGTTAGAAAAGGAAAAAAAATTCGAGTGCAAAACTGAGATTCGAACCCGCAACCTCGCGGTGCAAAATCCTACCCTCTATCGACTGAGCTGTCGCACTGATCACTAACTTGTGTGGAAACAAATAATTATAATTATATACCTGCGTGCGTATCAAAAAAGTATCGTAGAGGGCGCTAAACAACGACTGCCGTAACGATAGCCACTTCAAACAATAAATCCTGAATAAAATCTTACCCTTTGCACTTCCTGGAACTTCCAGTGGAAGTCTAAATTTTGCAGTCCAAATAATTGTGTATACTATTGATGCTTTTCTTTCAACAACCCAAGTTAGGAAAAGTTTTATGCATGAGGACTAACGTTAGTAAAAAAAAAAACCTGGAAGTGGAAGTAACAAGTAGACATGACTCTGATCAGCCGCAAATTCTTGTGGAACCGCCTAGTTGACATGTACCCTGAAGATGCAGTACAATGTGAGCGAGATATTCGATATCACGCGAGGGGACCCGTCTATTTGTCATACACAATCAATGGAGGGCGCTATATAACAGTTCCCATGGTGAAATTAATGGTGACATGAAAACCTTTGCCGGCAGTTCAACATGGCCGGTGTGGCAGGTAATTCTGTCCCCCTGGTAAATGTGTCCCCCCCCCCCGGACAGATTTACCGGGTCGTGACCCGGTAAATCTGTCCGGGGGGACACTTTTACCTAGGTAAACCTGTCCCCCTCTAGGTAAATCTGTACCCCTGCACGACGTTAAATGTGTCCCCCCTGGTAAATGTGTCCCCGTGCAACGTCACAAGTCTAGCACCCAGACTGTATATTAGTAAAGTTATTAACTGTTTTTGCGCGGCGCCTTGCTAAATTTTGATGACGACTTCGGGAGCGAGCGATTTGCATGGTGGGCGTGCGCGCGAGTGTACCGCACCTACGGAGGGCGTGAGGGCGCTAGCGATAGGTTGAGTATTACTATACTACGCGTGCCTTTTCTGCTTTCTTGCAGAAACATAGATCGGTTGATTAACATCTAAACGTTAATTTCATTTTGATAATCAATGATGAAGGGTGGAAAAATCTAAAAAAGGAAACCCTGTGCGCTGAATTCATTATAATAACATCAATATAGCAACATATGCGTGCAAAACCAGGGGGACAGAATTAACTGGAGGGGACAGAATTACCTGGAGGGGGACAGAATTAACGGGACAGGGGGGACACTTTTACCTAGGTAATTCTGTCCCCCCGGACACTTTTACCGGGGGACAGAATTACCGTCCACACCGGCAGTGATGGCTGAACTCTTTTCGGTTTTACCCTGAAAAATGCAGAATGTCTTAAATTTATGATTTCTCTAATAATACCAAAACGTATTCAGTTTAGAATGAGACATATAGAAACAAAGAACATTCCACCCAAGGTCGGTTATAGGCCTATTTTCTTTGTTCTTTTATTTTTTTAACCTTTTTTATATAGAAATTTCAGATTATTGCGGACGGGCCAGACAGTAGTTATTTCAGTGATATGAAATAGGACCCATCTTTTGTGGATTACGAACGCTAGGGCACATCCACTAAAAGCGTACTTTCATGGGGCCTAACAATTTTAAAAATATAAAAGTCCCCCCCCCCCCCCCGCCGTTTATACACAGACAAATCATGAACATGTATTAGCGGGAAAGAAAATCGATAATGTTGAAGATATGTTGAACCTGTGGCCCAGATCTTCCATTTTGCTGGGGCTGAGAGACATATATTTCAAGGCTTAAAAAGTGAAGGAAAAAAACGATTGTAGCCTGCTGGCCCAAAATCAACTGTAATAATAATAATATAATTTATTCGGATGATTGACATGTATATACACACAACAAAAGGATATACCAAAAAAAAAGAAACCAAGTAAACAATACACACGGAAGACAGAACTGTCGATGGAGGCGCTGTTCAAAACCGCCAATTATGCACACCGTAAAGGACCAATTATATGGTGCGATATTGTTGCGAAATTCTGAAAAAAGGCACCGAAAACGGCACATGCCACAAAAAAATGACATTAGCAAATGCTACTAGTGACGTCACATGCGAACGGTCTCCGCCCTAATAAAATAGTCGTGAGAAGGGGCGTACACTAATTATAGATGAAGTAGTGTGCACGATTGTAGGAGTATGAGCCCTCGCCCCCTTGCTTTTGTCCGGATGCAAGATTTTCAGTGAGGGGAGGGCGAATGGGGGGGGGGGGGGCGAATTTTTATGGGGGCGTGCGCCCCCCCCCCCCACGTCCGCCGTAGCTACGCCGCTGCTGCTAGCCCCCTCTAGCATTAGCACCGCGCCTGCGATACAGCCTGGGGCGGCGAAACTGGGGGGGGGGGGGGGGGGGGACGGAGAGGGGGGGGGGGAAGGCCAACAAAATTGCCCCTCTTGCATAATTATGTGCCACCTGGAGATGACTGCCCCTCAAACAGGTCAAGAAATTATTATGATCGCGCTGAACAGTAATTTGCCTCCTCTCTTGTAATGCAAAAGTACCCCTCAAAAACACAGATACCCCTCGCGCATTAACAAGATTGTAAACATTCTCGAGATGGAACAGGCAACTCGAGAATAAATTTAGGAACTTTAGCATCCATTTATTATTTTTGGGCCCCATTCATTAAAAATATGTCAGCGCTGGGCTGAAGGGGGGGGGGGGGGTGTCCCTTAACCCCGGCCTTCTCTAGATCCGGTAACTGTGCAACAAAAGTTTCACATGTATGCAAAACTAGAGGAATAGCCGGGTGCCTGGCTGTGCTTTTAAAATCGGTGCTTGTTTTTGTATGCGGACGGAAAAATAACACTGTGCGTTTAAATTAGCAATAGGCCTACACGTCGTTGTAAGTAACTCTTGGGGACCAAGGGCGGATCCAGGGGGGGCCAAAGGGGGCCATGGCCCCCCCCCCCCCCCCCCCAAAACGAAACCAATTTTTTTTTTTTTATGTGACATCGCAAAAAAGGCAGGCAATGAGTACACCACCATCTTTTCCTCAAAAAAACATTGGTTAAAGTGGTCAGAAATTGCCTCAGATCGCACCACGGAGCATCTAGAATCCAAAATTTTTTTCGGGGCCCTTAGGCGGGCCCCGAACCCCACGCCGTAATTTTTGGACCCACTTTTTTGGAGTACCAAAAATTTTTTGGCCCCCCAAAAAATTGTGTTCTGGATCCGCCCTTGTTGGGGACGTGGTTAAATGAAGTGAATATTTCTGAGTAACATATTTTGTGCTACTGTCTGATCCTCTTTTAGTGTATGCAAACTAATTAATATTCCTTTTTGGTTAATTTTGTTGAAAAGTGCACTTTTCTTTAAACCTTTACAATTTTTCAAGCTTTTCCGGAAAACTAGTCTGGTTCCCAGACCAAAAGATTCCGACTATTCCTGATGATTCTTAGGTCCGGTAGCCTCCGGTAATACAATGTATTACAATTTACGTCACGTGACAAAAACGGGAGGAATTCCTCCTTTTTCCGAAAATTTCCGAAGTTTGCCGAAGTCGTTTCGTCGAAAATCGGATAGCGCCCGAGTATTTCCGAGTATATAATATAGGTTTAATTAACTGCTAATTGCTTATTAATTTTATTTTAAATGATTTGATAATTAATATTCATTGTTTTCATTTAGAAAACTTGAAATTCAACGACGATTTTGTGCATCAAATATACTCATATCGTACGGGCGAACTTTTTTGCTGCGTCATGTACAATTTTGAATTTGACGACCGTTACCGAGATTTTCCAAAACTCGGTCTTCATTCGGCTCCGCCTGCTAACAGTGCTATTTGGTTCCGTAATTTTGAAGATTCCAGATCAACATTACTCAATCTTATCTTACAAAAACATCAAACTGTATCATCATAACTGTATGATATTACGAAGTAAGTGATTTATTTAAAGATTTGATCAGAACATTAAAAGCTACAAGTGATAAAGCGAAATCGGAAACGAAGCCGCGCTTTGAAAAAGGGCTATTAATGTCGTCATGTTTATTTTTTAGCCACGGAGGCTGCCTGACCTACAATTTAAGACGTGAGCGTCGGGAATAATTGTCAGGTCTGGGAACCAGACTACGGAAAACTTGCTCATGAATATATATTTTTATATAGCATAAAACCAAAAAGGCAGCAAAATACACTTGAAAATGGCAAAATGAAAATTGAAAATAAGGTTAAAGGGACATAAAGGTGCACTTTCAAGGACTGCAATAAAAAAAAATACATTTCATATTCTTTCGCGAGATTAGCTCATAAAAAATTACAAACAAATATAGCTTTGACATTCAACATTCATTTCATTGGTAGTCCGTCGCGTCCGACGATGACGTCTGTGCCTCTCATTCGGTAGTGGTGTAAACTCTCATATGACTGTGGACTCCCAGTCTTGATCTGCATAGACGTCCGCAGTGAGGGCAGACAAACTGGCCTAGCGCTTCGGGTCCTGCTGCTGCAGCTGCCTTCCTCCTCTCCCGGGCCTCCATGACTTTATTTCGGCGGTTTTTTTCACAGCTGTCGGTTGCTTGTTTTGTCACAGCACGCCAGCCTGTGCCCGGTCCTACGCAAGCTCCTCTAGCTACATGTACTTCGGGGGTATTCCAGCATGGACGATGTTGGCCTTGACACTATCTTGAGTTTGAAGACAGTGTCAACCCCTTCTTTATGCTCACATCTGATATTCATTTGTATAATACCCGAAGCACTAGTAGGATAAATTTATATGTCCAATTCAACAGAACAACATTGTCTAAAAATAGCGTTAATCAACGTGGTGCATACTGGAATAGTCTAGATGACTTCTTAAAATCAGCACCTTCCTTCTCTGTCTTTGTTAAAAACCTTAGATCACATCTACTCAATTCTTATTCGAACAACTAGTTATAATTTATGAATCTAGATGTATGCTCTCGTCTCATACCAGTTTGTGTTTTTCTACGTTTATTCGAATAACTAGTTATAATGTATGAATCTAGATGTATGCCCTCGTCTCATACCAGTTTGTGTTTTTCTAGGTTGTGTCTTTGTGTGTCTCACTGTTGTCCATTTTGTCCTTTGTCACTGTCTCTGTTTTTCTTGGTCATGTCCACTTGTCTGTCGATAGGTTAGGGTACAAAAGCGTGACGCTTCACCTTATACCTAATGTTGTCGTAAATTTGTTCTAGTATTGATCCATGTACATTATTATACACAATTACATAACTCCTTGCATTTTGCTCTGTATAATATGTTTACACGGCATTGTAACATTTTATTGTGTGGAAATGGCAACATTGAAATAAATGTTTCTACTACTAAGAGCTTCTGAGGCCTTCCCCGGTTTCTTTTGCCTAAGCAAGGTTCGCCATAGAGAAGCTGCTTGGGAATTCTGGAGTCGGCATCCATTCGGATGACATGCCCTGTCCATCGAAGCTGGGCTTTTAAGATCAGTAGCTTCGATGCT